CACTGTTTTTTTGTTATTTAATTATAAGGTAAATTGCCAGTTATTGACACTATAACTTGTACCAGGTAGAGTACCAGTAGAGAAAGAAAAGGTGTCGACTACAGAATATACTTTACTGATGCACTCTTGTTATTAGTTAAGTTCCCTACTCCGTCCTGTTGAATGGGGGTTGCCAGCCGTTTAACAAAAATCTTTTACCTTTTCGATACTTTGTTACTCGAGACTTATAAATATCAATATCGTTAACATAATATCGAACAGTATCGATGCCTCTACCACAAAGTAACTCACATGATACCGGTATTGATACCTTTGACCGATACTCAACCCTACTCCCAATTATAAAAATACAAAAACAGAGAAGTCATATACTGCCATCCTAACAAGTGAAGTCCTATCTGAAAATTTATATTTATTATCTTTTAAACCTTTTTTTGTGTAACTTTTTAACATTTTAGTACCTTTGTTACAAATAAGACATTCCTTTTCAGTATCGAGAAAGATAAAATGTAGACAAATGCACATAAAAAAAACTGCTAATTTTGCAGATAAAACCTTTCTTGCTAGAACCGCAGTATAGAAGTGCTCATGTAGTTCACTAAAGATAAATAACATTTAAATTTGTTACGTTTCAGTAAATTAAGTATTACCATTGCTGGACAGTAGTGACGTTTTGGTGGATAAATACAGCATTTCACTGGATATATATACCTATGCCATTTTGCTGTACGTTTGCTGCACAATACCAATTGCTGGACAAACTTTAAAAATGCTTTACAATACAGAAAAATTGCTGTAAGTATGGTCGCCCTAATGTAATAATATTTTAATCACTAAAAATAAATTTTAAAAATATTGTGTTTTAGGTTTCCTTTGGGCTGGATTATAATTCTAGTAAAAATCTCAGGAATTTTAGAAGCTAAAGTTAATACAGAATTGGTTGAAGAAGAATATATAACATCTGAGATTATTTATTTTTCTTTCAGAGCAGAATATCATGCTAAAAAACATTGTTCTGTATAAGTTGAACATCCATTATTAAGTATAAAATTTGTAAAAGTCAAAATAAATGTTATTATTTATTTAAAAAAACAAAGTAAGTAAAAATCAACTAAAAATAGGTGCAACGATATATATATTATTTTCTTAATAATAATTAAACAAGTAAATTTGTTATCTACAAAGTTATTTTTACGGAAGAAACTATGTAATTAAGTTCACATATTTATTTGTTTACAGTACGCTACTGATATATAAAGTTCTAAATGGTTAAAATATCAAAATAAAATAAAAAAGAAATTAATAAAATTGTCACAGTATAAAAATGAAGTCAATAGTGTAATAAAAGTTGACACTTTAAAAAATAAACCTTTTAAAATGTCATAATTTGAAAAATACTTATTGTAATTGGACATCAGTTGGTCTACAAATAAATTCTGTCCATAGTTAGTTCTATGAGCATTTACATAAAATAGTTTCATATGCCTAGTAAGTCTGGCAGGAACAAGGAATCTAATAAAGTGTACCAGGCTGTCACTATCAATCAAACCGTTCAATAACTTATACAGGAAAACAAATGATGCTTCTCGACATCTGCATTCCAAACTCTTATAGGTCCCTCTCAAAAATAACATCAAGATCATTTATAGTTTGCTCAAAACTTAGTTCAGAACCTGCAATGACAATCATGCATAATGATATTAGCTGTTTTATTAAACCTTATGACTTTACATTTATCAATATTCAGTTTATATCATATTAAAACTATGATTAGTACCAGTTGTAGGCAAATATCTTTTTTTAGCATCCTACAACTGCCATCTTAATAAAAATCTAGTGACTTTTGAAATATACCTTATATAAATACACTTTTTACTACTTTTGAACAATCGTGCACCATTTTAGCTACCAGTGAACCTTTGCAATATAGGTACCTTATTATACTCTTTCGTGCAAGCGTTCAGTGTTTTCGATTCTAGTGAACCTTTGAGATATTCCTTATATACCCTTTATACCAACTTTTGTCCAATTTGTCAGTGTTTTTTTTACCTATATTATTAATACCTACCTCTACTTGTATGATATTGGTTCTTGATTTCAAAAGCTTTTTAATAATAAATTTATACAATTTTTTATTTTGTTTTCTTCAGATTTTACTATATCCTCAATATACTATTTTAAATATAGTGTATCCAAGGATGGACATAACTATATTTGTAAAGATATTTATTTTAAATTGTTCAAAAGATCTTTTTCATAATTTCTCAACGTTAATCGTATTTATTTAACAAGCAAAAGAAATTATGAAGAAGTACTTTTAAATTTAAAAATAAATATTTTTACAAGTATTGTTAAGTAAATCCGTGGACACACTGTATAATGCTGTAGAATGAATTCACATTATAACATCTATAGAAAGTTTCAGAGCAACTTTCAGGGTAAGTACCGTAAAAGTGCTAGTGTGATGTTTTCCGAACTTCACTTTTTAACTTCTGTGAGATGTGCTATAAAATGATAGGGTTACATTAACAGTACATTGCATGCGAGCTTAAAGAGCCTAAAATTGCAGCTTATTAACGTAGATGGGATGTTTTTGTGCTAGCTGGGGGGTTTCAGGTAAGTTTCTTATCTAAGATAATCCCCAGATATTTCACCTCATCCGCAAAAGGAATGGTTTCCTAGGCCAAGGTAGGTTGTCTCTTGGTGAAGAGGATGATAACAGTTTTCCGGGGGTTAATATACAGCTGCTTCCTTCCGCACCATATACTAATCGTATTTAGGGCTTGTTGAAGGATGTTGGAGACCACCTCTTCGTATTTCCCTCAAATTGTGATAACCAGATCGTCCGCAACTGATATCACCAACCAGTGTTGCCAGATAAAAAAACAAAAAATATGGTATCCGACATTTAAAAAAATTGTATTTTACTGACAAAAAATGGTATATTGAATAATCTTGATGACAACAATTAATAAAGTTTTACACCAATATATGATAGCACAGTTTTTATGGAAAAGGTCTATATTTTTATATAATGTTGCTAAATAAAACATATATTATAATATATAATGAACAAATAATAAATGAAAGTAACAAAAAATTTTTATTTTAAACTATGATTTAAATAAAGTATTATTAAGAGCAAGAGCGGAAGAACAGAGAAGAGACAGTAGGGTCATTATGATCTTAGTGAACTTAGCATCGTGTGCTACGTAGGTAATGGAGTGTACTAGTAGTCTATTACTCCATAGTGCCGGAGTGCTAGTACTCTAATACTCCTGCACCCTTACAGACAGGCCTTGTAACAGTTTCCCAGCGCCACTTTAGGAACAGCATTGTTAATTAGAACCCAACAGTGAATAGTCGGAGTGAGGAATCCTACCTATTATTTCAGAATTATTTTTAACTAAATTAAAAAAAAAAAAAAAATCCCGGCCATATGGGTGAGATTCGAACCGTGGACTCTTCCATTCGAAATTCCAGACTCTAACCACTGAGCCACCCATTCCCTATTAATAAAATTGTAATTACATTTTAGTAATTTATACCGATAACCTATAAGTAAGTATATTATACAGTGCATGAGGACGTATAGGTTGGAATAAATTTGATATTTTTCTATCCAGTAGTATTTTAAAAAAATGCTTTCATAGGTCCACTGCACGTCTTACGCTACAATGTCATCGATATTTTTTTTTTAATAGAGCAACATATTTTTCTCTTCAATTTGTAATTTCCCGATAATAGATACATTTTTGTAATCGTCTATTATTGGGGAATTCAAAAGAGAAGAGAATAATATATTGTTCTATATAAAAAATCGATGACGTCATGTACACGAAAGTGTTGATGTCATTAATATATCCATTTGTAGAGTAAGACGCTCAGTTAAAACTAAAAATTAACCATATTACTCTTCTTCTTATTATATTGAATCAAATCAAAATCTAAGATTTAAAAATATAATAGTAAAATGGTATCAGTAGCCAAAAAATGGTATAAAAATGGAAAATAGTATCCTCAAAAACTTGCAGGTATCGTAGTAGAAAAAATGGCATAAATACCATAAAAATGGCATAAATACCATAAAAATGGTATACCTGGCAACACTGTCGCCAACGATTAGTATTTTACTACCATACAAAAAGTTAAATGATATCAGTGACTCAAAATGGTCTTCAAATACACCGCGAGACATTTTTGATGGTATATATTGCACAAATATATAAACTTGAATTTTTACCAAAAGTAGGTCTATAAAACAGGGAAAAAATATTCCTGATTATTAATCATGGTAGAGATATATTCTTTATGTATCGCAATCAGCACCCCACTATATGATGTAAATGTTAATGTTTTGTGCTATTTAATTTTTACTTTTGATTTTTTTTATATAAAGCAATAACTAAATTAAAAAGACAACAGCTAAAAAATGGACAGACAAATTATTAACTGATTCAAGAGATTGACTTATTTTTTAATATGGTGTTGGCCTAATCCCATAAGCACAAAATTTTATTCTAATTTTTAATGTTCATTGTACGATTTAATGAATATAGTTTTAGCAACATAAATAATTAATTTATGTTGATACGACATCCAAATTTCAATCCTTATCTAAATCATATCGACGATAGTGGAAGGGCTTTTCCTTACCTGTAAGTCGAATGGCACCATTAATTATTTTTAAGTGAAATGGAAAAGTTATTACTCATCCCTCCACCTTACAAGTTCTGCTTCTGGGAGTCACTAGTAAGGTGAATTAGGAAGATTATTATTACTTCTGTTAATTAGTTAAAATTTCCTAATTTAAGTCACAAAACTGTTATTTCAAATAAATATAAAAAATTAGTGTCATTATCCCATTTGTAAAGAGTGTGTTAAGGCGAATAAATTAGATTACAGGCATAGTGATGTATAGTACCATTTCCCGTATTTAAATTGATGATGTAATTTATTGTATGCCCCTTAGTATGAAATAAAGGTACACTTTATTTTACCTGGTGGATCATCTTCTGCAATTACAGATTCATAAATCTTTGGTTCAAAAACGGGATCATTGTCATTTACATCTTGTACTGCAATAATCACACTAGCACTTGCTGATAGTGGTGGTACACCCTGATCTGTGGCTATAACCTAAAAACACAGCACACTTAGTAAGACAATTACATTTCAAAAGTACAGCGTCAATTCCCCTTACTTGAAACATGTATTTAGGTTGATGTTCTCTATCCAAATCTCTGGTCGTATAAATCCATCCTGAATGAGAATCAACGGCTAAAGGCAAGTCTTCTGTACTGCCACCTGTAGCGTCCCTACTTGAAATCGTATACTTAATATCAGCGTTAAGGCCTTCATCAGCATCATAGGCCTGTACCTTAACAATACTATAACCTACAGGAACGTTTTCTAAGACACTTTCTTGAAAGAGTGAAGTATAAAACCTTAAATATAAAAAAAGGGTATAAATTTATTTGGGCTGATGATAAACTTGAACTATTTACCTAGGCGTATTGTCGTTGATATCTTTAACATTTATTAATAGTTGAGTGGTGTTGGATCTAGCAGGACTTCCACCATCTTGTGCCCTTATGACCAATCGGTAGTTACGGATTGTTTCGTAGTCCAGAGGCTTGACAAGGGCTACGTCACCTGTTAAACTGTCTATGGCGAACTGAGATTGAGTATTTCCACTTATTATTGCATACCTTATTGCAGCGTTTGCTCCTTGATCTGCATCAGCAGCTCTATAGAAAATAAAAACATTTTAATATTTCTGAATGGCTGAGATATTTGCTAATCGATTATCTTACTTGATATGTGCTATAACAGGATTATCATTATAATTAATATCTTCATTCAACGACACTGTGTATGTCCTTTCTGAAAACTGAGGGTAATTATCATTGTCGTCCAAAATGTGTATAACAACACTTGCAGTTGAAGTTCTTCTAGCGCTTTGCGGTGATGCCAAATCTGATGCTTGAATAATTAAAGTATAAACTTCTGTGGTTTCTCGATCTAACAGTGTTCTAGTAGTTATGACGCCTGTTTTAGAATCGATTTTAAATGCGTTGTTGTCATCCCCTTCAGGTGAATTTCCTCCTCCACTTATTGATTTAATGGAGTACTCAACTTCTGCATTTTTGCCTACATAAAATTCACATGATAAAAATATTAAAAAAATCATATATCTAAAAGTGGCTACTAATTTTAGTTAAACTTACCTATATCTTGATCAGTAGCTTTTAAAGTTATAACAGTAGTTCCAACATTAACACTTTCTCTTATACTAGCGTCATATTCTATCATTTCAAAAGAGGGAGAATGATCATTGCCATCGAGAACGTTGATTTGTAACATGGTAGTCCCAGATCTTGGTGGGAAGCTGTCATCCATAGCTGTCACTCGAAAATAATGAACGTCTACTAACTCCCGATCTAATTGTACTTTAGTGGCTACAACTCCCGTTTTTTGATCTATATCAAACATAGCTTGAGTCCTAAAAAGGTAAACACAAATAAAAAATATCCATTACATCACGATATTTTAGTTACTTGTCTTGTAAATGTCATTGAAAATACTGTACCTGGAATCTAGTAGGCTGGTCATGGAATAAGTAATAGGACTATTCTCAGGGTCTCTAGCTTTAACAGTTGTTACAATTACAGGAGGATCGCATTCTTCTAAGACACTAGCGACGTATAAATGTTGTTCGAAAAATGGCGATTGATTTCGTAGTTCTCTTCGTACTCTTTTGGCTATATCGGTATCGTTGAATTGTTGATGGTGGTATACTATTTTCAGTCGATGTTCCGAGTTTAGAACTGATATGTTTTGGCATATTGCTGAGAATAAAATTGTTACCTAAAAAAACACCACAATAAATGATTAACAAAACAGTATACCTTCGGTAAAAGATGAATCATATTTATATATTCAAAATAGCAATCAATCATGAACAGGGCCGGATTAAGCACCAATGGCGCCCCGTGCCAAAACTTTTAAAGCGCCCCTTCCCAACAATTAATTTTTCAATCTATTAAGGTATAAATATGATCAAAACAATTATTCAGTGCATTTATTTTAAAAGGATAATAACGTAACAAAAATTTCATGATAAAAAATTAAACAAACAAACACTTCGAATCAAGGATAGCTATTTGATATTTATTAAAGGTTCTTTCTTAATTTGTTTGAAATAAAAAGCGTTCACTCTCAATGCACAATAAAGCTTACGTAGATTTGAAAACGACCTCTCTCCGGTATCATTGGTTGCTGGTATTGTCAAGTGTCGATATTTGGATATGTTGCAACTACTATTTATTTTCCTCCTTCAAAGCTATTAGAAAGTATTTAAATTGAATATCATTCTGAAAAATCTCTATCAAGTTAAGACTGATAACTCTGCCATAAATTTGCCGCCTCTGTTAAAATTAAATTGTCCGAAAGATCACATGACGATCCCATTAATCCAAACGTGTTTATGGCCCTGTCATAGGTTATTTTTCTTCGGATTAGTTCTGATGACAAATTATCTAATATAACGTAAAATGTGTTAATTTTCTTATGTTGTTTTCCATCAAAATTCGTTTAACCTTCTTTACTCTCATCGTAAGCTTTCTTTCTTATTCGGATTCTGTTCACATCAAGTTTGTGTCACATTTTGTTAAATCTTTAGCATTTTGTTCAATTTCTTCAAATTTTTCGTAGGATCGCAAGCTGCTACATACAGTATTACTCAGACAGCACACATAGTCCAATGGACGTTCATTTTAGATCAATTTGAGGGCCAGAACGACCATATCCGTATTTGGACATCCAGTGTACATCCGTTTATGATCATTAATTTGACAGCCGCATATCGATACCCAGAGGACGTCCGTTTTTTTGGACTTAATTTTAAATTAAGTATTATTTTGACGTCCAGCGGACGTCCATCTTAGGTCATTATTTATTAAGCCTACCAGATAATTACCCATTTATACACACTTACACACTTCCTTTTTTTAATTAAATTGATCATTAAAAATTGACAAATTGAATCTATTACATTTCATTCTATGAGCAAGCAGAAGTTTGAAATCTTATTCCATTATTACTGTATCTAGTAAGAATTGGCTCTTGGTCGAGGTCGTCTAGCGCTTGAAGTATAGAACGACAATGGACGATTCCTTCTCAGGTCAAGTGATTTTTAATTAAAAAAAAAAAATAATAAATGGTGTAGGTATAACGGGTTGCAAAAATAATAAATTATTAATAATATAAAATAGTGTGGTGAGTTGCGGTTGTGTAAAAAAAGTTTGAATGTGGTCTCAATGGAATATAATCCAGAAATGGACGTTTTTTGAATGTCTAGTATTCAACGTCCAAATATAATCCAGAATTGGATGTCCTATGAATGGTCAAAAGTGTGCTATTTGTATACTTTACTGTACATCCATTGGATGTTGGAAGTCCAGACATCCAAAATTGTATATCAAATGGACGTGGATCTATTTGTGTTGTCTGGGCCGAGAAACGTAGAGTTTTGTCACTAAGGAAACGTCTGTGGATTGTTTTTGTAATGTTTTGCTCACACTATCAAATTTCGGTAGCAACCTATTCCACACTTATAATAGAATTCCAGTTTCCAGTTTGTTGATTGCAGCCCGCAGCCAGTAGCTTGAACCTTTGTTGCTGGAGGTTGATTTGGATCGTCTATTAAATTTTGAAAGGCGTTTTGGTGGTAACAGCTATAGAGCGCTATAGTTGCGTCCGCTCTTGCAAATCGTCGAGTTGTACTTAATTTTTTTGGGAGCAAATTTTTTCTTGCTTCTCCGTCTCCATTCTCAGGCTCAGTTAAAGTCTGTTTTAAAATATTTCATCTAGCAGTGGAAAATGAAAACTCTGTTGCCTGTAAACAACTTTCCGCATCACAAGAACCTATCATATTCAAAGAATGCGCTGCATATAGTATGTATACAGTTTTAGCAAAAAAAATGCTGTGTGTGTTAACTACAAATGTGCAGTTGGTCCCTTAAGTGATCACCTATGGTTGGGTTTGAGTTTATCGCACGTTCCATGCTATTTTGAACTTGGCTTGGATGAATACTGTTGGAAAATGAACTATTTCGTTTCTAAAAAATGTTGTTACGTTATCGATCATAGATCTGATCAATATTAATGATAAATTATTAATTCATAGTGAATTGTTTAGTCATAATTTATTCCTCTGCGTTGGTTAAAGTTATTAGTGAATGGAACTAGTTACTTAAAGGTAAATAAATTTAAATAAAATACAAGTTGTATTATTCCACTAAAAAACTAAACGCATCTTATCGAGTGAAAATGAGATAATGGAAAAAGAAATCCATTATCATCCAAATACCAACAGTCAGAAACATGTCTGTGATGTTAGTATATTTTTTAGTTATTGCGATACATAATAAAAATGAATTATTCTTGTGAAGAATCGATAAATAATGGCAATCCCCTAGATGTTCTTTAATATTTACAAAGAAATGATAATTTGTAGTAAATTTTAATAAAACTATCCATAAACAAATTTAATTTTACGAGTTTTTTTGAAAGAAAAATTATGGAGGATTACATGAGGCGGATAAAGATTTAAAAATATAGTCAAGGAAGTCTTGCCTAAAATAAATCCTTTCAATACGTTTCCTAAAATTAAGTTCGACTTATTTGTTAGTTTTTCTTGAATTTACAAAAAAAAAATTAAAATTGAAATTTCTTTAAATTCATTCATTTTTTGTCCGATATTTTGAATCTTCCTGTAGATATCAAAGGTTTCTTGGCATCATTTTAATGAGCACAACTTGTGTAATTTAACCAACTTTCTATCTGTTTAAGAAATAGCAATACACTATGAAATAGTATAGGTCTAGGAAGTTCTTTTTCTTCCTTACTATTCACGAATATGACAAGTTACCGATAGAACACTGATAGAACCAAATCGAGGAACATTACCGTCGCCAAGAATAGGGCCTCTGAAGTAAAAAAACAGTTACAACAAATTTAGCGTCTGTAATACGAAAATATTAAAGTTCTTATGAATCATACCTTCCATAAGGGCTCCACAATACACACATCCCTACTAGCAACCAAATCGCCTTGACTCCTCTCGATTTCAAATCTGTCATCGTTAACATAGTGGAACTGTACTGTACAATAAGTACTGATAGTACTGGGAAGAAAAGCTGTAATGGAGTTTATGTACTGGCTCTGCCTTAGGCAGATCTTTTGCCATTTTCCTCCGGTTGGTATAGCAAAAGAAGCGTATGTCTCCGATACCCATTGTCGAGCCTCGTTGATTTTTTCTTTGATGGAAGGATTTAAATGAGAATATGGATTGGGATAGGGAAGTAAATGACTGGTAGTTAAACTTCGTTTCTGTTTCTTAAGGATTTCTAGAGATTCTGAAAAAAAAAATGTTTATTTATTCTTATAGTTCATAATTTACTAAAATATCAATCTTTGTTCTCTTTGTACTAATGTGACGTTTCGTCGCTAGGCTGGGATCTTTGATCATAAAACATAAAACGATAGATAGGTACATTTAATTTCTTTTTGTTTGTCCCCAGGATAAAACTTGAATAGTCTTTAGGAAGACATAGCATCTCCTTTGACTGGATTAAAAGATTTGTTACGCTTTTTTTATTAGTCGAGTTGTTCGGAAGTACGATCTGTGCAGTTATGGTGTATGTCATTTTATATTGAAAAATGTATAACCACTTTTCGTAGGCGTATCCAACTGTAGGAGTGATGAAACAAAAACAAAAATACAAACAGAAGAATATGCTTAATATGCAGGTTTTCTTGTATCTAATTATATTTCCATTAAAAGAATTAAATAAATTTTTAAATGTATTTACATAAATAAAACTCAAATTGTCTCTATAATAATTTTTTTTATCGTAGTAACTAACATTAAATTAAAATTTAAAAACATAAGACATTTAAGTGAGTAAGTATTTTCTCATTAAGTTCTACTCAAATAATTTTTGCATTTCTTTTTTAGATCTACCTTTTACACAATGAATATTATTACTGATCAGGTAAGCTATTAAATAGTTTAGTACCTAGGTAGAGTTTTTTGTTGTTGTTGAATAGTGACTTTTTCATAACATTTTATTTTCCTAATATCCTACTATAGGAGGTATTCTCCTTTTAAGGGTGGTTTGCCCTGATTACAATAAGTAACCCAGCTAGCTATGATTCCTAAATGTTGTCGTGTGCGCGTGTGGTACTTGTCAATTTTACTATTTCCAACATCATATATAATGGACAAGGTGGTAAATATAATTTAGGAACCCACGAGAACCTAAATCAAATCACGATACTGTACAAATTACTGCGGTTTCTAACTATATGATTGGGAAGGGTTTTATCTAATGCATAGGGGGCCGAGTCCAACAGATCCTGGAGTTCAGCGGTGAGAGGGAGGTCTGGGAGTCTGAAAGTAATTTTAGATTTGCTTGTTGTAGTTTTCTTTTCGGTTTTCGAAATAGTGGGAGGCGGCGTGGGAGCCATGGGGTTTGTAGTGTGCCTTGGGAGTGTGTGTTGGTGCCTTTCAGCGTACGAGAGACGTACCTATTGTTTCATGAGGGTTTGAAAAAGTGTGAGGATGGGGGTGTTGGAGATGTTTTCGAAAACTTCTCTGCTGGGAGAAAGAAAGGGGAGATATTGGCATCTCAGTATACGTCTCTCGAGTGTGGTGAATTTGTGGGCAAGATGTGTGAGACGTACGCCGTAGGGTACCGATCTGTACTCGACAACGGAGCACATAACATAATTGTGTATGTATTAAGGTGTTTGGATTTCATCTCCCCATTCGTCCACACAAAGCCCCAAGGAGACTGGTTCGCTTTCGCATCTTATCGAGAGACCATTGGACATCAAAGGGCCAGTTGAGTATACGAGAGAATTGTACTCCCAAATAGTCAACTTCCGTTTGTTGACCGAGTCTGACTATTAGGAGATTTACATTGCGAAGTTCTTTGTAAATTTGGATGTTTAAAGATGATAAATTGTGTTTTTTTGTGGCTTTATGAGAACCTCAATTTGCTACACCAGCAAGAGTACCGGTTTAACAGATTTTGGGTTCGAGTAGTTAGTGTATCAGAATTTTTGGCTACAGAAAGCAGAGCAGTTTCATCGGCGTATAGAAGGCATTTTGACGATGGGTGATTTGGAGGTGGAATGTCGTGTGTGTATATGAGGTAGAGAAGAGGGACCAGGTCGGGTCCCTGTGGGACCCCATCAAGTGGGTTGAATGTGTCTGACAGGGAGTTGCCTACTTTGACAGTGATTGTTCTGTCGGTGCGGTAGGAGTGTATGAGTTTAGAGATGCTGGGGGGACCTATGTTTATGAGCTTTTCGACTATTATGGAGTGCCAGAACTTAGTCGAAGGCTTTTTGAACATCTAGAATAACGGCTGATGAGATTGCTGAGGAGATTGCGTCCTGTGTGAGTGAAGTATTGAGGTCTAAAACCATGTTGGGATTAAGGGATGACGTTTCTTCTTCACAAAATTCCCAGATTCTTTTCTTAAGCAGAAGTCAGATATGGGAGAAGATATGCCAGTATGAATCTAAGAATTTGGGACCTTGTCTGATTTGGGAATCAAAATGGCGGATTTCCGGGAAAGTGGAAAATAGGAGAGGGAGAAACAGGAGTTTTGAAGTAGGGTGAGGATGGGAAACATAGTTTCAGGAAGATGCTTCAGCGTTCTTCTATGTATGGAATCGGGCCCGGAGGCCGTGTTTTTGCCTACCTGGTAGGCATATTTTATGTCTTAGATGGTGAATAGGGTTGTGAGGGGGTTTTCGACATCCAAAGATGGGACTGGGACTGCAAGTGTTAAAAAGGGCGTTTTGTTCGGTCTCGTTTCTGAATTGGTCGTCAAAGTAGGGGTTGTCGGAGGGTTCTGAAGGTGGCTTTAAGGTGAGTTTTGTGGGCTAGGACTTTTTCATTGGGGGTTGTGTGGATTACTCCGTCGATTTCGATGTGAGAGTGTGTTTTGAATTTTTCACCCGTGATGAGTCGGAATTTGTCCCAAAATTTGAAACCGTCTTTATGATCCAAATTAGAAGTGGTATTAATCCTTTGTTGTTTTTTGTGTAGGTTAGTTTGGAGCCTGATCAGGACGTTTAGACGATTCCATTCAGTTTTAATGACTGGATCGTGGGTACGAACATAGTGTCTATACAATCGGCGTTTTTGGAAAATGAGATTTAGGATGAATTGGGGGAGGGCTTTTTGTGAAGTGTTAATGGAGGTGATTGGGGCTGATGTTTCGACGGCGTGGAAGATGGTGGTTTGGAATTCGGCTACCAGTGTGTCGATGTCCTGTGAAGAATTAAGCGGGCGTTGCTCTGGAATATTTGAAGAGATAGTTTTCTGAAATAGTGGACAGTCTGCTTTTTTGAGATTCCGGAAGGCGTAAATTGTAGCTCTTTGTGGAGCGCGGATATGGGGTCATTGTCTCTCCAATGAAGCATTTATCAGCAACCAGTCCAGTAAGGAGTATGTCAAAAGGATGTGGTCAATAATAGATGATCCTTGATGATGCTTGATGAGGCTCTGAATGTGTGGTAGTCGATAAGCAGATTAGCTAGGCGATTGCCAGAGGGGAGGAGATGATTTGGACTAGACGGTTGTAGTAGGAGATTATGGTTAATGAATTGTTTATTGGGAGGTCTATAGCTATTATGCCTAGGTCTAGATTAACAGGAAATAAATGTAAATTATATGGAATTGAATTATAATTAATATAGCATTTCCAAAGCAGTTTTTGGATTTGTTTTTATGGACAGTTTAAAACCCAGTGAGGCTGGGTGGAAGTTTAGAGATAATATTTGCAGGTTTTCAGTATTTATCGTAGAAGTTTTGTTGATCAAAGGCCTCTTCCGAGCGAGGCCATTGCAATTTATAGTTCCGATCAGACAGTCCATTAAAGGTCGGGATTTATCGGAGAATATGTGAATATGGCAAAATTTCCATGATCAGTGATGGTGCATGAATGACCGAAGATGGCCGGGATTAGCGATCCCAACAGTTTGGTCAGAATTTCTCGACTATTAGGTAGGAGCTATCATCAGTAATTTGGATTGATATTTTCAGCTCTGATGTTAGCTCAAGGGGGGGGGGGTTGATGTTGAGAGGGTGACAAGACCTACCTGTTCAGGGTTTTTGTGATATTTTTGCCGCTCTGGGCAGGTTATGCAGTAGACAGGGTGGTTTCCGCGACAATTCGGGCATTTTGGCACCTCAGACTTTTTACAGTCTGTTTGCCTATGGTGCTGCCCGTCATTTGGACAGGCGGATTTCTTTGAGCATTCTGAAGCCAAATGCCCAAGGCTGGTGCACTGGGTGCAATATTTGGGGATGGGAGGCAGGGGGTTGGAGTGCTCGCAGGAGTGTCTTCAGCCGAATATGCCGAAACCCTCGCAGATTAGGTATGGATAGTGAGACGCTGAAGGAGTCAACACTCTTATGAACGAGGTGAATTCCTGCGTTTTTTGGGAACGAATTCTCCAAACCTTGGTATAAGGAATGCTAAGTTCCTCAAGAACCGCTTGAATTTCCTCTAAGGTTATATTTTTGTTAATCTGGCGGATAGAATCGGGTGGGTTTTGAGTGTGTTTGGGGTTGAGGATCATTTTATTATCCCCATCCGTTGCCGGATGAGTGTCTGGAGTTCGGTGGGATTTTTGTGATAAGTGCAGTCCTGTTAAAGTTTGCTTTTACGTTTTGTCTGAAAAGTTCAGTTGTATTAAGTAAATTAAATAGGGCCTTTTGTCTGGAGCAAGAGGTAGGTATGTTTCGGAGGACGTAGAGTGCGTGTGTGGTTTCGGAGGGTCGATGTTGTCTGTCGGGTTAAGGGGGGTAGTTGTTGGGGTTTTGGGAATTGCGGTTGTTTTTTAGTTGTTGGAATTTATTTGTGGATTTAGTAATGGTTTTTTTCATTAGTGAGGAGATGGGAGTTTGTTCAGCTCGAATTTGGGGAGGGGATTGATGCTATGGAGTTTTTGCGTGTCACCACCGTGGTGGTGACAATGGTTTGTCGATAGAGCTTGTTATTTTTGGTTAGTATTTTTCGAGGCTCTGATCCAACTAGTGTGTGGCAGTCTCACCACTCAAGGGCTATTAACCCTGGCAATATGATGACTTAGTTTGTTAGATTTTCTAACACTTTTTGGTCCTATAATCGTCTATTGTTGGAACTTGCTAAAAGAAATGGGATTAGTTTGTCAAATATTTATCAAACGCAATATATCATTCAAAGAATTCGCAATGCGAATAATAACCTTTCTTAAGAATTTGTAAAAAGAAATTTTTCCAAAATAGGGCTATACTCCTAAAATAAAGAAGGTTAGTGTCGGATGGTTATGAGTCAAATATCAATCGAATAAACTTAGCCTTTCTTAAAGAAAAACAATAAAAATAATTTTTCGGAAATAGTGCTGTTCACTTTTAGGATTCTTCTTCATTGGGAAAATAATATTTTTCTAATTGAAATCTCTGAAAAGAAATTTCAAAAATACTAAATATTATCACTGTCACTAGTTGTCCTATGTCCTTGTACATCCTGGATACGTTTGTAGTGCAACTTTATTTAAATATTGTCTTGGAAGAAAATAATTGTCGTATATTAAGGATTTTTATGTCAGCATAGAGATATTCAATGGGGTATATTATGTTAGTTATAATATTTCACACTAAATGTAAATATTCACTTACCTAAACTTCTTCTATCTCTAGTCGCCTCATCAAAATACTCCTCCTCTCTGTGATCAGTGCATTGCCTTCCAACTATAAATATCCTTAATGGTAAACTATAATAATCAATGTCTTTCAGTCTATTAGAAGTTGAATCAATATGTATGGTAAAAAAATTCGGATAATAAATTCCGTCGCAATCCAATTTTTGCAATAGAAAAATTTGGCCTGTTTTGGGATGAACTTGGACTAATGAATAAACAAACGGAGCGGATCTCCTTTCATTTAACTTGTATGACCTATCCGATCCCAAACGGTAGATACTAGCATTAAAGATCACATGTCCTGGTATAGTAGTATCTTCTAGGAGCAAAAGATAGGTTGTGGCAATTTGAAAAATAAAGGAAAATAATAAAAATTGGCAGAGGAAGTATTTAGTACTCTCAGGCATGAGAGAGTATCTTTTGGTCATTTTTTGTAAAGTAGACCATGTTAGTTTAGATATGTTGATTGGGTTTACTGTATAGGTGGCTTCATTGTAATCTGTAACAAAAAAAAATGAAAATTACTAATACATTAATAATTTATCTAATAATAAACTACTTAGGGACCAAACGATCAAATAAGCAAGTAAAAGATTTATGATACTACTTTAATGGTATATAACGGGTGTCCATTGTAACGGTTGGAACCGTTTTCGTTATTTTGACACAAACATCTCTACTCAAATGTCATTTGTCGTTCATGCCTTGTGTCAAAAGTTCCTAATTCATTCGATTTGTATCTGTCAACGAATCAAGTTGATTTAAATTTTAAATTATCTTGGACATCCGATGTACTAATTGTCTTTTAATATTCTTATTGGCCGTCTGATTTTGTAAGGTAAGTTTGAATACCGATATATTGTTGAAAATATATATATTTTGTACAAAGATTTCTTAATTAAAATGTCAAATATCGTACATAACCTCAACACATGAATAACACATGGATAACACGTTTTATATAATTTTATGAAGAAGGCCTAATATAGCATGCAAATATCTCCTTATATACTACCTCCTGTTATAACAGATAAGTCTTTGTTTTTTTAAAATAAATCATCTAAATTTGAATTAAGTAAATCTCTGTGAATTAGAATTTGTTACTACCTTATCTAAAACTTTGTTTAAATATAATATCTTAATGGTTAGTAATTTTCTATATTTTTATCACTAATCTATAGTCAAGTACAGTAAGTTTTAAATATAGTGGTGCCCAACTTCTTTTTCAAGGTAATTCGAGTTATTTAACAACCTGACCCACTCCCAAAATTAATTGAGCTCAAAACACTATAACAAATAGATAAAATAACAAGTATCACGTTACACCATTTATTGCGCATTTTTTCGACATTTCAATCAGATCGCTAACAAGGTGTTACGCTTTTGTCTGACAAAAAATGGAATACGTTGTATTTTATTTTAGAGTAACCTACTAATAGTAGATTCAAGAGCCAAGCAATTAGTTTTTTAAATTTTAGCCGAAGACGTAATGGCGAGAAATAATTGTTATAAAACTATTTTTATAAATAAACCCTAATTTCGTTTAAAACTATCATTTATTTCAATTTATTCGTAGTGCACTTTTAAAATAATTAGTAGGCCATTATACCATGGTAATGGTAAATAAAATACTCTATATTCCATAGATGTACGTAATATAAATTCAAAAACACTCTTAATTTAAACAAAAATTAATAACGACTTTAAGTTGAAATAATATACAGTTTGTATTAAAGTTTTCTAAAATTGAACTTAAATTTTTTTACATTTATTCTGAAACACTCGGTAGGTATATAAATTGAACCATTTCTATAACCATTATTCGTTAGCCTGGTAAATTATAAGTTTTCAATTTAAAAAATTTTGAAATCCTAACCTACCTTAATTATGAAAATAATTATATTTAGGATCTGCATCATTCTTTAATTGCTTGGCCACCCTGTATTATTACTCAAAAATATGGAGTTGAATACTGTATTAATTGTTAATTCTAAAATTTAGGCTATTACGTTTAAAAAATAGTTTTTTATCTGTCTGCGTAACATCCTGTATATCAAAAATATTTTTAAAACATGCATTTTTCAAATCCACACAACTTTTGTTAAAACTTTGTGTATCTGGAAATACCACTAAATGGAATTCCGATATAGTCAATTTTATCCATAGATTTTATCATTGAATTTCTTAATTTTCCGAATAATTTGCCTAATTTTAGATTGGCAGATTTGTGACCAAGAAAATCACATTGATATAAAATAAACTACGCCGCAGATGAAGTGGGACAGCCAAAAAATTGCCTAATTTTGACTAGCTGTAACTTCGACATTTCTTTGCCGATGTTAGATTTTCAGCCAGAGGTGGAAAGCGCCATCCTTGCTGTTTGCGTCAGTGGCATTGAATATATTTTTTTTAATAGCTTCTTGTTGTACAGGGTGTGAATGTTAGGCAGCGAAAAATGTCCGTTTTTTGGCAAAGAATTTGGAAAATGTGGGGGGCCAAATCAAGTTCTTTCTGATGTTGAGTGGATCACTAGGTCGACACCTCGGGACGTCTTTGCCATTTTTTGATACTTTGCGTTGCTATGGAAATATCGCCATTTTATGAAATTCCATATTTCTTTTAGAATTAGCCTTTTTTTAATTAAAGAATAACAGATACCGACTAAACTGCATCAAAGAATAACGTATAAAGAAAATGGTCGACACCAGCGGCGTGCAAAAAGGGGTTTATGAAATTTAAAAAACGAAAACTTGATTTTATTTGAAATATTTAACACTTTTGGTAAGCGTTACAGTTTAAAAGGTGCCATAACTGTAATGAGTTTGATTTTGACTAATTCAGAGGAATACAAAAGTAAAGCTACTCACCCTATAAGCGCTTACTGATAGTGTCAGTAAGCAATAATAGGTACTTACCATTTTTGTATTTGTAAGTCGGGACATTTGCTTTGACGAAACTTTATTTTTGCAATTTTATCAAGAAGGCGACAAAAATATTACCATAGAGATAAGATTTTGACGTTAGATTGCATAAGTCAAAACAAAAATAAATTGCTATTGTCCAAATGGCGCGACTTACGGCTGCATATTTGGTGAATATTTTAAGATTGCGGCAGAGAAATCACACAGTAAGAGAGAGAGATTTCTGATTTTCTTAATGTCAAGAAATCATCCGTTGGAAGAGCGTTGCAGAGAGAAGGTAACAATGGTACTGCTGCTTACCGACACGGGGGAGGATCTCGAAAAAGAACTAATCCTCGTCAGGATCGAGCATTAGCGGACTGCAATCAGAAACAGAGTTTGGACTGCCAAGAGAATCCGAGCGCAACTGCAGTTAAACGTTTCAGCAGACACTATTAGAGGACGCCTACATGATCAGGGATTAAATGCTCGCCGTCGGCCAAAATGCCCACTTTTAACTGACATTCACCGGGCCAACAGGAGAAGATGGGCCCAAGAACATATAAATTGGGATCGTAGGTGGAGAGACTGTCTTTTCGTTGATGAAAGCCGTTTCAACCTCTACAATTCCGACGGCCGATTGCTATCTTGGCGGAGACGGGGAGAACGTTATTTAGCAGAAAATATGCGTCCCCAAGTTGCATTTGGCGGTGGTGGATTGACGGTTCGGGGCGGTATTCAACACAACGGAAGGACATAACTCGTGGTATTTCGGGGTAATGTAAACGGCCAGGTTTACCTGAATGAATGTCTGATTCCGCTAGTTCTCCCGCATGCTCGACATTATGGCCAGGATTTTGTTCTTGTGGACGATAATGCTCGTCTTCATCGAGCATTATTAGTGAACAGATATATACAAGAGCAAAACCTTAATCGTACTGAATTGCCTCCTAGATCTCCAGACTTGAATCCTATTGAGCACGTCTGGAGCTGGATGAAGTTGGAGTTTTCCCGAAGGGAACGTCAGCCAGAAACTCTAGACGATCTCGAGGAGATGATTTTAGAGCTTTGGGAGGCAGTTCCTATGAAGCTAACTAATAACTTAATTTCGAGCATGCCAAGGCGGTGTCAGGCAGTTATTCAGGTTAGAGGAGGTCCAACGCCTTACTAATTAATAATTAACAAATATTTATTAAGGTTAGGTTTATTTTAATATTCTAATGAATTCCATGTACGTACACACTTTATAAAATAAAAACCAATAAAAAAACTGTTTTTTTTTTTTAATTACTGAACCCTTTTTGTACGCCTCTGAATTAGTCAAAATCAAACTCATTACAGTTATGACACCTTTTAAACTGTAACGCTTACCAAAAGTGTTAAAAATTTCAAATAAAATCAAGTTTTCATTTTTTAAATTTCATAAACCTCTTTTTGCACGCCGCTGGTGTTGACCATTTTCTTAACACGTTATTCCTTGATGCAGTTTAGTCGGTATCTGTTATTCTTTAATTAAAAAAAGGCTAATTCTAAAAGAAATATGGAATTTCATAAAATGGCGATATTTCCATAGCAACGCAAAGTATCAAAAAAATGGCAAAGATATCCCGAGGTGTCGACCTAGTGATCCACTCAACATCAGAAAGAACTTGATTTGGCCCCCCACATTTTCCAAATTCTTTGCCAAAAAACGGACATTTTTCGCTGCCTTACATTCACACCCTGTACAACAAGAAGCTATTAAAAAAAATATATTCAATGCCACTGACGCAAACAGCAAGGATGGCGCTTTCCACCTCTGGCTGAAAATCTAACATCGGCAAAGAAATGTCGAAGTTACAGCTAGTTAAAATTAAGGAAATTTTTTGGCTGTTCCACTTCATCTGCGGCGTAGTTTATTTCAAAATATGTATGAAAATATTTATTTTCTCAAAATATCAAAGAAATAAATTTTTCCAAAAGATTAAAGATGATATTAACGTCTATCTATAACTTAATAGTTAGGTAGGTATCCTATAAAATAAATAAGTTCATGATCGATCTACTAAAAGCTAAAAAAGGCGTCCAAAGAAATATATCTTTAAAAACACTTGCAATAAAACTTTAGCAGACTATTCCCTACAGTCTACAGACATCAAATCATTAATTTTGTAAACGCCGGCTGGTGCATAGGGCTGGTGGTTTAAATTACTTATTATACAATAAATTTTGGATACCCTGGATCTTGTGCTAGGAAGTAAATTATTGGTAAAATATTTTATTTCCCGAAACTTTAAGGAATACATTTTTTTTATTTCTGAATATAATTTTGATATTATTTGTAATACAGAAACATGGTTAAAACTACATATTGGTGATGATATTATTAATATTGATGGATATCTTTATCTTTATCATTATTTGCAGCTACATAATACAATATGGAAAAAATATATCATACAAACAGTAAAACTGATACAAAGTGTCGGACCTAACAAAAAAAAACAAATATAAACAAATGAGTAAAAAAAATATGAAATATAAAACACTACTTTAATTAGTTTTAAAAAGAAAAATATGTAATGTTAGGTTCTAGAATTATATAAAAAACCCTTTATAT